AGCTAACGGAAGCTGATGCATTCGTCATGCAGTGATTTAACTGGATGCTTGGTTTCAGGTGGCAGAATAGAGTGAGCAGAATTGATATGGGATACAGAAGGGAAATGTCACTGGCTTCCTTCCATCCTATGTGGTTTATTTCCCATTCCCTCATCAGGAAGTTTATATAAACTTAGTATTAGGCTAAACTGTTCAGATTGTGACCTGTGCCTCTCCTCTTTAGTTTCACTGCTGGTGTCAGGGTGGTGAGTGACATGTAATCTCTTGCTTCCACTTGTTTAACCAGACCCATCCTGTGATACATGTTGGTCTCTTCTGTAATTGTAGTACTCTCGTTGTAGTTTCCAGGCTGTTTGCGGTAACAATTCTGTTGATTTGGCAGATTTTTGTGATGAGGGTAAGAGGTGGAACTAGTCTAAATAATAAGAAAAATCAACAAAAGAGAAGTAAGAGTAGGGGAACAGGGCAAAACACTGTACAAATGTGCAACAGATAGCAGGTTTGGGAGGCAAGACAATGTTATATGGGAGAAGAAGGTAATAGGGTGAAGCAGGATAAAAGATTATTAGGCACTTATTGGTATGTTTTGTAGAAAACAAATGTTTTTAAGGATTGGGTCAGAACATGGTGATGTTATGCAATCAGGATATTTAAAACTTTAGAAAATGGAAAAACTTTAGAAAATAGAAACTACAATGGTAAGAGGAATAAAGGAAGGTTTAGTAAAATAGGTAGATACAAAATTGAAACTATACAGCCTGTGTAGTTCAATTCTCACATCAGGTAGAGCTTGGATTGAAATGAAAAACAGAAACCGTAAAAGAGAGATCATTGAGCAGATGTTATAGATTTCCATGGAAGAGTGAGAAAGAAACAAGAAATATTAATACAATTACAATAGCCCTATTGAAAAGATGAGGCATTGATCATCAAGAAATTCACATAAACTGGCATTGACTGGTCAGCATAATATAGAAAGGAAGTAATTGTTCTTGAGCAGGTACAGATCATAGCAGTGAAAGTGACTGTAGGCTGCATTCATAAGGAAAATTTGAAGACGCTAGGCTTATTCACAGTAACAAAAGAAAATTGTGCTAACCTAATTCCAGCTTTTGTTGTGCAGAAGGTACCAGTATTGATGGCAGAACAAATTACTTTCACTGTCAAACATGAAAGCAAGTTACACATGATGCCACTGTGTTGTGCTACTCTGTTACCGTCAAGTCTGCAATCTCTAAGGGGTATCGTACGTATCGGTTCAGAGTCCATTTCCATTCACCATTGCAATTCCCATGAGTTGCCCCAAGTCTTCTCCTCTAGAGAATGTTATGTGCTGCTGCTTTTGCCCTCCCTCATGAGACCATCCAAGGAGATACAACATCCCATCATTAAGGCTAGTAGGAAACCTGTATGTTATCCCACCTGTAGAAATTCCCTGATGTGCAGCATAAAGGTATTGGGCTAGATCCTCCGCTGATGTCAATAGGCGCACCTCCACTGAAGTCAATCGAGTTATGCCATTTTAGACCAGTTGAGGATCTGGTCTATTGTCTTCAGTTTCCTGGATATATTTGCAAATGCTCAGCATCTCTCAGGATTTGGCCCAATAGCAGAAATAATCTTAAATTGCTATAAAAGCATTTAATGGGCAAAAGGCAGAACTTTCAGAGACAGGGACTGTAGAACTGATAAATGTATTGGGTCCAATAGCTATAAGCTATTTGGGGGGGTAGGGGTGGGAGTTAAACAAATAGAGTGCTTTCATCTTTCCATTTCTAAACATAACACCATGTGGGGCATGTAAAATATTAATCTTTCTGCAAGATGATTTCTTGTGAAGGCACTTTATGGATAAAAGACAGAAACCAGTGATACAGCCCCGCTCCCTGCTGTATTGATGTCTGTAGCTGTATTGCAAATGGAAATCCATCCCTGTCATCATAGTACAGTAAGCACTCCCTGACAATAGGATCCATACTGCACTCGCCCTGGAAAGATTGTTTTGTTGCAAGAATTGATTGGGTTAGAACTTTTTCCAAAATGACTTAACATAAAATGTGGTGAGTTTGTTCTGGCAGCTCTGACGCAGGCAGGCTGGGTCCCTCCTGCTGTGTAGTCTTTCTTTTATCGTTATTCAGGAACCCGTAGAGGATGAAGCCTTTTGCATATTTTCATCTACTCACTAATTATTCGTGCTAGGGCTGGTTTGAGGTTTGACGCTACAGTATAGAAAGGAAAACCAATCACTGCTTATTAGTGTTTGTTTTCATCTGTGGTAATTTCAGCATAGACTTCAGCTGTATATCCATGCTTGCCTTTTTCTCCAGAGTACCCATGTGTCCCAGAGTACACAGAGTACCCATGTGTCCCTGAGTAAAGGAATGTCCCTTTTCCTCAATATCTATCCCAGTGTCCCTGTGTGTTTTACAAAAAACAGACGTCTCCCCCACTTTATGTAAACCTCATCAAACTCTGGCCATCCGAAGGAGCCAAAAGCTAGCTGAGCCAATGAAATTGACAGCAGGTTAGCTGAGAGCATGTGTGCCTCACTGACCCAGGTCTGTTATATGTCAACCCCATGATATACCCTCCATGAGACGACCCCCCCCCCCCAGTGAAATCTCCCATTCGCATAGTAACAGATCCATGTGGAATCAAAGACTCACTCTGAATCCTGGCTGTGCTATGAGTGGTGAGCCTACAGGCTGGTCAGCCTCCACCATCCACACAAGGCTACTGACCTGTCTGGGCCGGCATGTGAATGAGAGACAATGTGTGTGGTGTAATGAGAGAATGAGGGGAGTAGAAAAGCAGAGAAGACTGAAGGGTAGAGGAGAGAAACTGGAAAAGGCCAAAAGAAAAAAACAAAACATAGAAGGTATAAGAACAGAAAGCCCAAGTGGTTTGAGGAACTTAGTAGGAACAAAGAAATAAAAAAGGAAACAGAAGAAATACAGTAAGAGCCAGAAAAAAAAAACTAAATAAATAAATGTAGCCTTATCTGCAGAAAATGCAGTAAATGGATGGGGGCTAGAGGACTTGGAGAAAACAGTAGAGAGGACACAGAAAACTACTGTTCTTTCACCCACCTGTTACTGACTGTACACGTTAGGTTTTATTCTGAAAGAGGGAAGGTGACCTGGGAGGAGGAGGAGAGGAGTGTTCCATGGCTGAGGAAGTGGGAGAGGAAAAATTGAACACACTTTCCTCTTTTCCATCCCTCCCTCCCGCCAGCTGCCAAAACCTTGGTGTGCACACCTCATTGACACCCATCAAAGCTGTCTGCTGCATCGTCCCTCCCCACCACAAGATGCATCTTGGTTTTTCATACTGAAATATATTTTCTAATGAAGCAAAATAAAAATCCTCAGGTACATATTCCAGTTGGTTGCACATATCTGGAAAGAATGGATCAACTGGATGTACAGCAATGCATTAATATCTCAGTGTGGTTAGTCGTCTTATTTCCAGGGCTATGTATCTTTCAGGGCCCTTCCAAATTTTCTCCAAAACCTCTTCTTTTCTCATCTCCAGGCTTTTGACTATTTGTCCTGCACACTCTGTGTTTTTGGCCACAGTCATCACCAATGCTTAACCACATTAAGTATTTTCCTACCTCTTATTCTTTCTATAGACTCACTATATTTATCAAGTATCAGAGGGGTAGCCGTGTTAGTCTGGATCTGTAAAAAGCGACAAAGAGTCCTGTGGCACATTATAGATTAACAGACGTATTGGAGCATAAGCTTTCGTGGGTGAATACATCTGACGAAGTGGGTATTCACCCACGAAAGCTTATGCTCCAATACATCTGTTAGTCTATATGGTGCCACAGGACTCTGTCGCTATATTTATTAAATATGGGGAAATGCTACTATACTTCAGATACAGTGACAGTGGGTAAATGTTGACTTTTACAGGTGTGCTACATGCTTCTGCCTTGCATCTTTTCCTGCATCACACACTTCCATCAGTACAGTACCATTTACTCCAGGGTATTCTCCATACTACGGTCAGCACGCTGCTGTCATTCTTCTCTTTGTGTTTAATTATGCCATCTTAAAGAGGAACTGAACATTTAACAGAAGTTGCACATTCATGGAACTTTATTGTATTTTTTGATTCAGGAGTAAATATTGAATCGTTGAAGTTTGGGTTTGAAATTTACCTGAATATGTTTTACCATTCCTATTCCCCACAGATTACACAATGGCACTGATTAGCAGAAGCGTTTTGTAATACCACTTAAGGCTTTATCACAGTGGAGCACTGCCAGTAATAGTCTTTAATTCACTTATATGTACCAATCCATCTCTGTCAGGTTTCTATTAATTTCTTCCCTGTTTTACTCTGTCCCTAGCCCCTATATAATGAGGCATGAGGTCTTCCATTTATGGAAAAAATATATATATATATTTTAAATCTCAAGCAAATTGCTTTTGCTCCTGCTTTGCAAACAACTGTGCCATCTTCACATTTATTTCCCGTTTAATCCACTTTTCGCAAGTTAATTTATTTAGAAGAATATGTGTCGGTCAAGAGGCCCAAGAGGCAATAATATTTTTATTGGCTAATTTAGATGAAAAGTTTGAAGATTAGGTTAGATATTTAAGCCTGCGTTGTGGTTTTAACACAAACCTTTAGTAGAGATATATTTCTAAAATATTAGATCTGTGTATGGTTAAAACTGTGTTTGTGCACATATACACAAACAGCACTTACCAGGAATACTTGTGAAAAATTGCACCCTGTTCTGCAATAATCTGTTGTCAGAGTGCGGAATGATAACATGCCTTGTTTACAAAGATGCATGCCAAAGGAATAGAACCTAGAGATTTCTGCTTGCATTGGAGTTCTACTGTTTTGAAATATACATATAGTTTACATTTATAACAGCTGAGAGATGTTTTTAAAATTTTGCTTGATGCATCACTGGTTTGCTGTCATTGCTGGAGTAAATCCAAATGTGTTGGTTTTCTTTGTTTCTTTCTAATGATTAGGATTGGTGCAAAACATCAGGAATTACGGCAAAAGCAGGCAAGAGGGCTTGCTGATTACTCCACGAGCCCTGTAGGTCCACCACCTGATGATGATGATGATGAGATGGACCCAAATTATGCCAGAGTGAATCACTTCAGAGAGGCTTACCCAGCAGCAAATGTCTACAGGCCATCGTCTCCACCTGTAGCAGAAACCTTTGGATACCCACGGGATATCCCTTCAGTATCAGGAGAGAGGGAGCATTTGGAAGGACTGTATGCAAAGATAAACAAGCAGCACCATCCACAGACTTCTGCTGACAGGTAATACTACCCAATGGCTGCAGATCACCTGATTTTTCAATTTCACGTGCACTTGTATTTACTGAATAGAAAAAAATGGTTTTACTCTTGATTTACATTGTTTTAACCAAGAACAGCCTTTGCCCCAACAGTACCCCTGAAGGGTCTACATAAAGCAGCAGACAAATAAAAATCATTATAGAAAGGTCCATATTTCACAAACAGAATGAATGAACTGCCTCCAATCCAATTCCTATGCTGCTGAGAAAGGTTTTTTTCTCTTTTAGACAGGAAAAGTTCTTATTCTTCAGCAAAACTCTGTTTTTAGATCCCTTTTGGTCCTGATGATCACCCAGTGCCCATTCGTAACGGGTTTTTGTGTGATAGTGTGATATATTGCATATGTTTACAGTTTACATTTCCCCAGCTGTGAGATATTATGCACTTTCAATTAGGTTGGGGAGAGAACTGGGAATCATGGCATTTTATGCAGACTGTAAAGTGTAGCTTCACAAGACTGATTACCTTTCACAGCCTTTCCAATAACCAAGTGAGAAAGAAGGAGCAATTTTTAATCCTTACTGTCAAGCTTCCGGGGTGATAGCATTAAAGAAAGATGGTGAAGTTTTTCTTTGAATTAAAAAGAAAACCCTGTGACTCAGTGATGCAGCCACCACTGTGAGGTTTCTAAAGCTGGTTACTTCTGGAGGTAGGGGGTATGAAAAATATATGATTTCATTAGTGTCATGGTGTTAATAAATGTGCATGGGATTTTTCTGGCCAGTATGTGACTGTGCAAGGAAGATGGGTGAATGGACATTAGAGGAATTGGGAATATGGGATGGGGGAGCAGTTTAAATATTAGTGAATGAATCTTGTACTGTGGCTTGTAATGTGGTTCCTCACTGCCACATTCTATGCTGGATGTGTTTGAGAGGCTGTGTGAGCACAGACATGGGAGAGTTTTGAGTTGTAGAGATACAATACTTTGGATATGTCTTAGGCAGGGCCAGGCCACAACATTTTGGCACCTGAGGCGGGGAGCTCAAATGACGCCCCCATGCCCCCTCGCTTGGGCCAAAACTTTGAAAGGTCTCAATTCTGCCTTCTTCCTGTTCTACTCCTCTAGTGGTACTGCTCTGCGACCTACCCCAATAAAGGAGAACTAACAACTTAAAATGCCTCGTTCAAAAATTTTAAGTAACACTTAACTTTCAAATGCCTGAACAGCAAATGTAACTTTTCTTGTCTGCATAGTAAACACTGGCATTTTTATCTGTTTGAATAACCAAAGTGGTGCCTTCTTGGTTGCAAAGATTTGAACTGCTTCCTGAAGGTCCACAGTCTGGGCCAGCTCATGCTCTATTGAGATGGTTGCAAGGCCGACCAGCCTCTCCTGTGTCATTATGGAGCGTAGATGTGTTTTTATTAACTTCAGCTTGGAGAAGCTGCGTTCTCCACTGGCATCTGTTACAGGGAGTGTTAGAAGTATGCGCAGAGCAACAAAAGCATTTGGAAAGAGGGTGGTCATCTTATTTGTGCACATATATTCCAGAACAGCCTTTGGAGTTGATCCTGCTGAAATGTATCTTGAAAGGGCTTTCAGTTCATCGCCTAAATCACTCGCATCAATATCGTGCATGTCATCATGTGTCAACACAGTCTCTAGTGCCCTGCATTGCTGGTGTAGGTCTTCTTCAGGTATAGTGAGGAGTTTTGGAATATCATACAACAAATATACTGCTGTGTTCCTTGAGCTGCATGAAACATTCTTCGACTGACTGTATTGCACAATCTAGCATCTGGTTACAGAATTCAACTTTGAATTGTTGTTTGGGGTCTCTTATGGGATTATCCTGTGCCTCATAATCAAAATGTCATCGTCTTCTTCGGTGACTCTTGTATTCTTGAATGGGTGGGAAAATAGCTTCAGTGTGAAGTTCCTCTGCCAACTTCTGTGCACTCTTCAGAAATCCCTCATCTGACCGGTAAAACTGTAGGTATGACTTTGCTTTGTCCAGTTGTTCCATTGCTCCAGATATATCAAGGTCAACACCTTGGAGTCTCTTGCTTACAACATTTATTTCAAACAGTATGTCATACAACAACACTAAGCCACACAGAAATTTAAAGTTATGTATGTTTCTGGTGATTCCATTTTCCTCTGCCACTGTTCTCCCACGAACAGTTCCTGTCATAGCATTATCCTCCATAATGGCAACTATGGCATCATCTATCTTCCCAATTTGGTGTTTGATAGGCTTTATCGCCTTCACTCGATTTTCCCATCGTGTAGCACTCAGTGGTTTCAGTGTCAGAGAGGATGTTCCCAGATGTTGCTTCAAAATTTGCCATGGAGGAGTTGATGTAGAGAAAAATACATAGATACTTTGAATTACATTAAAAAATTCAGCAGCCTCACTAGAAGCTGATGCTGCATCACTGACCACCAAGTTCAATGAATGAGAACTGCATGGGACAAAAAAAGCTCAAGGGTTTAACTCCCAGATCCGTGTCTGCACTGCTCTGTTCTTTCCTCTCATGTTGGCACCATTATTGTAGCCCTGACCTCTCATGTCAGCTATCACAATTCCCGTATCTTCCAGCTTTTTAAGAAGCACATTTGTCATACCAGCTCCTGTAGTATCGTCAATGTCAATAAATTCTAGAAAATGCTCTCTGACAGTCACCATTGCAGGGACATTTTTACTAGGTTCTGTTGTTGTTACAAAAGGCACCATTAAAGTCATTTGTTCCGTATGGCTGATGTCAGGTGTGCAGTCCAGAATAACAGAGTAATAAACAGATCTGCCACAAGCTTCTGTTTGACTTTTGTTGCCAGTAACTGTATGATCTCATTTTGAATTGTTTTTCCAAGGTAATGGTGTGTGTACATTTCTTGGGTGGTGACTCTTCTCAGATGCTCCTGGAGTACAGCATCAAACTCAGCCATCAGCTCCACAATTTTAAGGAAGTTTCCATTGTTTGGCACATACAGCTGATCTGAAGTGCCAGGCAGCGCTAGGTTTTGGGTAGCAAGCATTCTCACAATGGCAATGAGCCTTTTCAGAACATTTTGCCAGTAAAGAGACTGATGCAATCTTCTCTTGATGCTGATCATCTGTGGTGGCCTTTAACCTTAGTCTCATCTCAAGCTCTTTCCACCTATGGAATGCTCTCTGGTGATTTGCTGCCTTCTCATGGCATATCAGATTTCTAGCCAGATTTTTCCAGTCCTTTGTTCCTGTAGAACCCAATGTGGCTGGAACATTAGACTGGAAGAGTTTGCAACAAAAACAGCATGCAGCATTCTGGGTTTTTGAGTACATAAGCCATGGCCTCTCCACTTTGTCACCATTGGGGATTTCATGCCAGTAATGTGTGGGAGGAAACTTCTATTTTCATTGTCTTTGGGGAACATGAGGTTTTTCACTTGCTGTGGCCCATGCAGTACAAGGAAGTCCCTCAGGCCACTGCTCAAGTGGGTCCACAGTCCTGGATCATCTAGACTTAAGGAACTAAACTCAGCAGCAGCTGTTTCTTGCGCTTCCACCACACTCTTCTCTGATCTACACTTTTCTTCAGGAATGTGCATGGTTACATCCATTTGAGATGGAGATATGGACGCTGCAGTAGGTGCCAGGTCACCTGCACTCTGACTAACTGGAAGATCAGGCATCTCCTCTCCACTCACATCCTCACTAGGGTGACCAGACAGCAAGTGTGAAAAATCGGGACTGGTGGTGGGGGCAATAGGAGCCTATATAAGAAAAAGACCCCAAAATCGGGACTGTCCCTATAAAATTGGGACATCTGGTCACCCTAATCCTCACTGGGGCCGGAAGGCTCACCGTGAACATTTGTGTCTATGTATCTCAGGAGAGCTCCTTCCTGCTTAGATAGAAAAGCTTCCTTTGCTTTCTTTCTTTTTCTGAATGCTGACCCAGAGGAGCGTTTTCTTCTTTCACTCATGACTGCTGTTCTGTCCAGCTATAGTGGCTCTCAACACTCAATTGAAGGGGACAAATAAGCAGGCTGCTAGCAGGGCCTGAGTGAGGGAAGATATCAGCGTCTTAAGGGCCTAACTGGCTCCTACTACTTCAGTTGACTGCCTGTTCTCCTCAAGTGGGTTCAGGGAAGCAGCAGGAAACAGGAAGCTCCCTGAGAAACTGGTGTTAATCAGTCCAGGCTCCTGGGGGTGCTAGAGAGGTACATAAGAGGCTCCTCCTCCTCTCTCTCCCTGCAGCTCCTGCTGCTTTCTGTTATTCCCTCTCACCTTTTCTCCTGCCTGCCTGTTATGTCTCTTGTGCCCTCCTTCCTCCAGCACAGCACTTCACTATCTCTGTGCATCTAGAGCAGAGAGAATATATATGCACCAGCAGCAGACACAATTTTCTACACTCTGGGTCCTAGTGGCGCCCTTCTCTTCCCCCCCCCCCCCCCCCCCCCACACACACACACACAGAGTCTTGCACCTGAGGGCAGCTGCCTCAGTTCGCCTCATGGTAAGGCCAGCCCTGGTCTTAGGTCATTGAGATACAGATCATTGGAAGTTTGTGACATGAACAGAAATGTAGATGTTTAGCAGGGAATATGCCAAATTCTCTTTCTCATTCATCTGAATACAGTATTGGAGAAAGCTCTCAATCAGATAGTCAAGAAGTGGATAGCTGCCATACAAAGGAGAGGCAGTTAATTGGCATCTCCCCTTCCATACCATCAACCCCCATGCATAGGAGCCAGTTATGTCAACTCCATGCTAAATGTAGAGGATTCGAAATCCAGATCCAAATCTGAAATTTCTCACATTCAAACATACTTAGATTAGACCCATTATTAGGTGTGGTGCTAATTAGGGGTAGAGTTCTATTACAGAGTTCCATTTTAACAGGACCATTTTGTACAATTCCCATTGAAACTGAAGTTGTGGTATGTATTGCTTTCTTGTGAAGGTGAAAAGGAATGTACAAGTCTCTCCCATGAACATGTAGGTTTTGGCTGGATAGAATGTGTCTTGCCAC